GGGTTCTAGCCTCTTTCCTTGTCTGTCTTAAGCACAACAGCGTTGTGAAATGTGCTCAGACATCTTACGAGTTCCTCACGACGCCACTAGGGTTAAGGGCATCCAGGCGTGTAACACCCTGTGTCAGATGAAGCCCACAGTGCTTGCCTGTCATCCATATTTAATTCTGTCAGTCCGTTAATTTTTAACTATGTTTGCTATCAAGGGCCATTAGAGGTCCCCAGGAGCTGAGCTCACTGAAGCGGGTGGAACTTCGTGGCAGAATGCATGACGCTTAAGTTGGGGCGTCCCACTTTCCCATCCTGTCCCTGGGTTTGGGTGTTCCCCACTGGCAGCACAAATCCTGAATAAAACATGATCCCATTTGGAGTTGAGTTCCCTCCCCCTCACCCCTGTCACAACTGGTTTTCTTCAAGTGAAAGTTCACTTTTTCCTTTCACACAAGTATAAAGACTACATTTCACAGCTCCAAACTTTCTTCCCAGCCTTGGTTTTGTTTCCAGAGCAGTTAGAAATCACATATTGGTGGATGGTACCTGGGTGCCTAAGCCTAGGGAGGGAGGCCAAAAATCCTGGATGGATGGACGGCCAGCTGACCCTACCACAGGCACTTCTCCATACCTGCCACAAGCCACAGACCACTCCTGCCCTGGCTCCAGCCCCTTCTATTCACCAAGGGAGCAAGCCCGGGCACCACTCACTGGAGTCTTGGTCAGGAGTCCCAGTATCCTAAGTGCTTTGGAAGACTGTACGGAGGGCCAGGAACCCCTGAGCCAGGCCAGACCAATTCTGACAAGGGAAGGCGGTGGGGGGAGGAGCTGCAGTCATAGTCACTACTAACTTCTGCCAAGCATCTTATTTTTGAATGCAAACTAACTCCATGAAGCAAGCAGGTGTTTACTCTTCTAATTTATAGATGAGAAAACACTGAGGCTCAGCGAGATTAAAAATAACAAAACAGTACAAAAAAACTTGCCTAAAATCTCAAATGTAGCAGTGTAGGTGAAAACTCATTAAAATCTTGTCTGATTTAAAAACAGAGTCCCAATTAGGTTCCAGGCCCTCTGTACTACCCTATGGTGACAACTGGACCAAACTTTTTTTTTTTTGAGACAGAGTCTCAAGCCATCTGCCTGGGTAGAGTTCCATGGCATCACAGCTCACAGCAACCTCAAACTCTTGGGCTTAAGCGATTCACTTGCCTCAGCCTCCCAAGTGGCTGGGACTACAGGCACCGGCCACAACACCTGGGTATTTTTTTGGTTGCGGTTGTCATTGTTGCTTAGCAGGACTAGGCTAGGTTTAAACCTGTCACCCTGGGTGTATGTGGCCGGCGTCCTGCCGACTGTTCTACGGGCACTACCCCATCCATTTTTTAATCCCAGGAGGAGGGGAGCTCACAAACAGTACGTACAGGTGCCCTCACTGAGACTCAGGGTGGGGCCTTTACTGCTAATGAGGTGGGGGGGGGCTCACATAGGATCTAGGGAGTTTACCTTACAGAGGACAGAATACAACCCGTGTGAGAAATGTGGACAACGGGCACCAAATGGAGGTGATGCTGCTGTGCCCACCCGAGGCCCACTCTGAGCCATCTTCCCAAACCCGGTAATAATCCTGTGGTTTCTAAGTCTTTTTGGGATCAGTGGCCATGGCCAGAGCCAACAGGCCAGTCTGGGCTTCAACAACAGCAGCTCTAACCCAACACCTCTGGATGACTTGACTCTGGATTGGGAGGTTCTAAAGAGGCCAGTGAGAACAAGGTCAAGGTCAAGGTCAAGGTCTCTTACTGCCTTACCGACTACGGGGCTCCTCAGCGGATGAAGGGCTCAGAGAGAATCTGCTTGGCCGAGAGTGGGATCCCCTTCCAGTCACGGGACCATGAAGGGAGCATCTTCCACAGTACGGAAGGCATGATAACTCCCCTGCCTGGAAACAGGCCGGGGGGAACCCTAATGGAACAACTATGGGAAGGAAGTACCAGAGAGACCAGGGAGGAAAGGGCCCGGTGACCTGTGGGGCTTTTTCTCTTCTCCAGTTTCTGATAGGAAAGCAAGGTAAGGCATCAGCTGGAAGGTTCAGGACAGCAGCGATCCTCAGCCTTCCTAATGCCACAAAGGGGTCACGACCCACAGGTTGAGAACCGCAAACCACAGGGCTGTTCTGTTTCTCTGGGAGTTTAGCTGCTTCTCACTCTGGATGGATCCTGCCAGGGGTAGGTTCTCTTCTGGCAGGTGTGTCCTGGCCTGGCGGAATTCCTCCAATGCTGGCACCACTGTGGTCGCTGCAGGGCAGACGCTGTCACTTGGTAATGTCGGTGGCACTCTGTCCCTTAAATGCCTCATTTTACTCTCTGTCCTTCATGCGTTCCTCCAGACTCTGGCTTTCCATGTGGCTATAGCCAGGCTCTCCAGCTCCCATTAGTGTTGTCGAAGTGTGCCAGAGTGTGCTACGGGTTTTAACTACCACTGTCCTGTGGGAAGGTTGGGCTTAGTCCTGGGCGCCCTTTTCCTTACTGAAAATTCATATTGCCCTTAAAGGCAATTAAAAGGAACGATTCTTTTTTTTTTTTTAAAGCAAACATTTACTAATCCCTTACTTTATGCCAGCCACTTTGTAAATCTTCTATGTGAGGTATTATTAACCCTATTTCCCTGATGCCAAGAGAGGTTAAGGAACTTGCTCAGTCAAGGTTAGACAACTTGTAAGTGGCAGAGCCACGTCTGACCAGGCAGCTGGAAACTGTATTCCCGTACCTCCACCACTTCCAGACTCAGAAAGAGAAAGCAGCATCTCCAAGGTCTACCGAAGGGGTAGGTTCACAGCCCCTGCCTCTTGGGCAGGCATGGAACTAGCTCACAAAAGGCTGATGGTGCTGCCAGCACAATGCCTGCCCACCCTGTCCCATGTCCTAGGAGAGCTAACTTAGGTGCTCCAGAAAGCCTCACAAAACAGGAACCTGGGCAAGAATGGCACTTCAGGAGATGGAACACTCCTGGGCCAGTTTCTCCTCATAGTCTGACCTTCAGAGAACTACAGGCTTAGAGGGAAAGGTCAATGTCAGGGGATTAATACTTTCACATATGTCTGAAAACAACCTAAAGCCTTAGGCAGAACAGCCCCAAAGGTAACCTCTGTAGTCCTCTAACACAGGGGTATTCCAGACAGTCACAAGCCTTAGCTCTGCAAGAAGACAATACACCTCTGGAAAAACCAAGCCCCAAGTGCAAGGAAGTCCCGGGTTAAGTGCTAAGGTGACCTGGGATCCGCAGAGGCAAAGAACCCAATCTCCTGACTCCTCCCCTTTGGGAGGCAGGCTAGCACTTGGTGAAGTATGGACGCCCCTCCCACAGGGCCCAGAGATGGTTCTGTTCACAAGTTCCCCAACAGGCCAACCACCATTACAGCTTTGGCTACTGCCTCCCAATCAAGCAGGAGAGCCGAAAAATACGAGCCCTTGCCACGTAAGTCCCTGATTAAAAAAATGTTTTAAAATCCAGTTCTCAGAAGTTGCATCCTGGGTCAGTCCTCAAGTTAGGCAGCCCACACACTATTTGTAGGCCATCTATGCCTTTGTGATCTCCTGGTCCCGTTTGCCCATGTCTCTTTTCCCATGATTCATTTCTGTATTTATTTTGGGTTTAACCTTTAAAAATTTTCCAGTGTGTCATAAGGGATCTCCCAAGAGGCATGCACGCCTGCCCCCAGGAAGTCTGTGCAATAATCTTTCAACTGTTTACGTATAGGCATGTAACGAATCCTGAAAGAACCACTGTTACTGAGGGCAGATGAAGCCTTTAAAACAGAAAACAGGTATAACCAGGACTTACTTTATTAGTCCTACTTACCTGCAAAAGTTTCTGGGCAGACATTGTGTCTCTGACTCTAGTAGAGGGTAAATGCTGTATTTATACAACAGGGCGAGGACAGTACACTTTAGTGATTTTTCTCTCTGCCCCATCAGTAATAAGACTAAAAGGAAAAATGGAATCTAGACCTAAAAAGCCTCTAGAGGTGTGTGAATGAGTCAGGAAGAGCTGTATACTCTTCAGACCATAACCTTCGTCTCCTATCCAGAGCGGCGTACATAATAAACAGTGTTTAATAAATTTCAAATACCAATGACCTTCTAAGTAAACCAGATGATCACTTCTAAAATATTAATTATCTTAGAAATTGTTTGTGTGCTGCACAGTGTCGCTCTTTAATCTCTTATAAAAAGCAGTACTATCCAGTAACTTCTAAAAAATGGGATCTGATGGCAAGTAAGTATCTTCAGTTTAGAGCTGGGATATTGGAAGGGGCACCAAACCACAAGAGAAACTGGGGCAGGGCTACACATGTGACTCAACTCCATTTCAAGGACAGTTTCTGTCTCCCAGGTCTTCTCTCCTCTGGATCGCAGTGGGCAGGCAGGCTGGAAAACGTATCCATTTGTTTCCTATGTACTTGCACTAGCCTGATCCACCATCCCTGCGGCAGTGAGATCTCCCGGAGGACAGAGGATGACTCATGGAGGCCCAAGTGAGAATCTTCCAGTAGGCAGCTCTTGCCGGTTCATCTGGGAGCCCAAGAGGAGGCAGGCGGCAGCAGTGTGAAGCTCGATGTCTGGCCTCCCTGGGACGCTCTGAGTCTTCTCCTACGTAAGGTATACTTAGCAGCCTGGGCCCACTTCTCCCAAAATCTTAGTCAGAGATTAACACTTTAGCTCCAAAACTGAATCACCATGAAAACACAACGCTGCAGTCTACTGGAGACCATTTTTGCTCTGATTAAAATTTTTATTGAAATCTCTCAAGCGTCGCCAAGAAAGTTTTTGCAAAAGGGGAGAAAAATAGTTAACAAACATATTCAACATGGGAGCTCCCTCTGCTGGTCTGCAGTAGGTTGATATGTTACAAACACATTCCCAGAGACAAATCTAATTTGCTGGAGAAGTGGACAAAAGACAGGTGTGTTGGGCTTTGCCTCAGGAGAGAAACACTAGAAGAAAAAAAAAATCCATGTCTCAAAACAGAACACAACATTGCTAAGAAAAGCAAAATTATTTAAAAGCTTCTCCAAGGACATTATAAAATTTCCAAAACAAAATCTGAATTATCCACTAAGGGGAGATGCTTCATTTGGGCCTTCCTCACTCTGCTCTATGTCCAATTAATAGATTCTCTTAGGCCCTTTGTGTGAAGGTTAAATGCTGATTCCCTTGTCTTTGCCTCCAAGTCTCTTCTTACAGGCTTCCCATCTACTTAGAGAAGAAAGGTCCAGGTGGTCACTCTGGAGAGAGGCCTTTCCAAAATTCCATTAAAGAACAAGTCTTTGGGGGAGGCAGCACTTCTGAGCAGAAAGAGCAAGGCCTGAGAGTCAGGTGGCCTGTGTCTAGTCATAGGAGAGCCACTCACGATTTTGGGTAATTCCATCTTCTCAGGTCTGTTTGCTCATCTGTAAAATGGGTCAGACCAGCTGATCTGTCCACACGCTATGATTCTGATACTGGACAAATACATTTCAATAACCATATTTGCTCATGAGTCTTTAGGATACAGAGTCCAAGACTGCACTGGGAATGGCTTCAAACGAGAGGGAGGTAGGACACATGGATCTCACTGATAGCAGATGAGAGCTCCACCAAATATAGGACTGAGGAGGCAGAACCAGGTGATTCTAAGTTGGGAAAGTCTCGAGATCAAGGAAGAATTCAAGGGGGGGGTGTAACCAATAAGGGCTACACACCCCACTGAAGTCAAATGGCTGAGTCCATTAATCTCCGAGCTGTCCTGCCCCATCTTTCCTTACAATGGCACAGGCGTTCTGGTATCTCTAGACCCTTTAGGTCCTCCTCCCACTGTATCTCCAGATTATTTCTGATTTCATCTGTTACATGAACGAAGCAAGGAGAGATGGTGTGGCCAAAAGCCACCACTCCCAGTCCTTTCTGGCCATTGTTAGCTCTTGATGGGGAAAGGCTTTGCCACTAATTAAAGCCATGGATATTCAGAAGACAATGCAAACTTGCACTGTTTCGTGGTATTTATTAACATTTGCCTTAATTGCCAATGAATCTGCAAAGTCTAATAAGAGGCAACAGCCATCCAGTGAAGGGTAAGAAAACAAGAGACATTTAGCTGATCTATGTCATCTACAAACATCCTGGTGACTCAGCAGACAGACCCACAGGTTTATGTTTGATCCTCTTCCCTCTCCTGTGACCTGCCAGTTGTGAGGGTTTCTAAGCGCTGGTATGGAAAAAGGGTGGAAGGAGCAGCAAGCGGGTTGAAGCAAAGGCACAGCTGACACGACACTTTAACTGACTTTCTGTGCCAAGGATTCGTGCCACCACCTTTATTTTTCCCTCAGACACCCAGGGTTCCTCTCTGTAGTTTGACTGTTTGGTGTCTGAACACATGGAGGGTGCAGCCCCAGGAAGCTGGGTCGCCAGTGCTCACACGAGAACTTGCTAAAGAGCTGCTTGCAGGGGTCTGAGTCAACACAGTGAGTTCTGTACAACTTAAGTTTTAAGTCAGAAGGACCAATTTTCTGGGAAGCTGTTTATTCCACCCAACCTTGTAAAAATAAAAATTAAGCAAGACAAACAAAAACCCTACTTGTCCAGCCAAGTTTTAAAAATCCAGGCTGAACTGTACATGCAATCTATATATGTACTTTCTATGTATTTGTTATTAACCTTTGCAGGCCAAAGAATGAGTAGTGATCTCCAAAGGTGAATCTTTACACCGAAGACTACTACTTACATGAAAAGCAAAGCTAAGAGAAACATTTTCTCCAAGGGGAAAGCAGGTGTTAGTATGCAGACAGCAATCTTCGGGGAGAAACAGGGAGTTTGTTTATAAAACTCAGGCTATTCTTAACTAAGAAAGAAAGCTGATCAGAACAAAGCTCTTGACCATGACCTGTAATTACATCCTAGACACTATATTGTACATCCTTTTTGACAGGGTTTCTTAAAAACAGAGAAGGGAACCCTTAATTTTTCCTCTAACATATGTAAGAACATGCATAGTCTCCTGTAAGCTTCCCCTTTGGTTGCTAGATTCTCACAGAACATGAGAGCAAAAACTTCTCAGTACACAGGAACACACACAGACACGCGTAACTCCGGCTACTATACAGCAGGCCTCTGCAGCCCTTCCCCACCACAAGGCACACGCCGGCCCTCTCTGGTGAGGCCCTCTAGCTAGCTGGGAGGGTTTGGGGAGGGATAACCTTGCCCCAGGCTCGTGTGTGATATGAGGTGAGATCAACAAGGAAAGAGAGGTGTCATTTGGGGCAGACATCAGGCAGGGGGTGATATCACTGCTGTCAGACCAGATCCTGAGATCCTCGTAAGTCCTGGAGGAGTGTCAGCTTGATTTAGAAGGGATCATTAATCTCTTGAAGGTGGATCTGTTAGCTAGATAGGTGTTAGTTGTACGGTGTGCTCTGGGGTACCAGGTTGGAAAGGACTGGTGGTGGGGGGAGTGAAGTTGTGGCCGCGGGGTATAAATTACCTGGGCATGCAGTGAAGCGGGGTAGGTGAAAGCAGGAGGAGGTAGAGCAGGCGCTAACTCCGCTGGGTACAGAGGGTACGGGGCCCACACTTCAGGGCTACTGGGGTAAAGTGCAGGCACTGTGAGCTCATCTGCAAGAAAAGAACAAGGCAAGAGTTAGTTAGTGGTTATCAAACAGCGAGTTCCATATCAGAAAACACAACACCCAGTAACCCCAAGCCCCAGTCGATGTTACAAGTTACGTTTCTCTCATCCTTTTTTAAATAACCTGTTGTCTTTGGTCCCTAAAACATTAAGCAAGGGAATGAAAAATTGCAAAAGCAACAAGCATCTGTCTGGCCTGCTGAGATCTCAGGCCTGGACTCTGACTTGGACACTCTGATGTCTTTCCAACTGTGGCTGGGGAACCCAAGGACAGCGGGAACTTCCTAAACAAAACAGAAAATGTGGGCCTTTGAGGAAAAGGAAGGGAAAGAATCAATAAAAGATATCCCATGAGAACCCACTGCAGAGATTGTGGGAGAACAATGGCTTAATGGCAGGACCCCACCAGACAGGGAGAACTGTCAGACTTTCCTGCTTATTTGTGTAACCGCTATCGACAGACATATCGTGATCAGACATTTCCCACTCGGTCCAAAGAAGGGCATGGCAAACACTGTGAACACAGGACATCCAGGGTGTTAAAAATTCAGAAAATGGAAGTTAAAACAACATTGAGTATCTTAACTAAAATTAAATATGCAAATAAGAACACTTATAATTGCTGTTTACACTGACTATATTTTCGGGGGAGGAGGGGTCAATCAGTCATGTTGCCAATTGCCTGGTCTAAATGTTCTTCATCCAGCTCCAGTTCCACTCTGGTCAAGCTGCAGTTTGCCAGAACGAAGGGCAAGTGCTCCCCCCCCCTCCATGTACCAGGAAGCAATCCATTAAAAGTAACAGCGACCACATGAGAGCCTCTAGTGAAGGCAAAAATAACATCAGTCAATAGTTATGAATTTGAACCCCGTGAAGCAGCAATTCCGATATGTGCTTTTATCACCTGTCAAAATCTGAAATCAAGTATGCCAAAGATGCTACCCAGGACTGCTGAGGGCGACAGGAAAAGGTGACTTGAAAAAAGTCATTAGTACCCACCATTCAGGACTTTCCAAAAAGCCTAAGGATGGGTCCCAAGGTCAATAGAGTCACCTCACCCCCTCCCACCATCTAAGGACCTCTCCGGGCTGCTGTCTCTCTCATCCTTCCCATCTCTGAAACTTTGGTTTGGGGGAGGATTTTCAATAAGGAAAGGGGGCTAGAAATAGAAAACTGCTTTGCTGGGTGCGATGTGGGGATTACTCTATGGAGAAACCAGAAAGTGGCAGAGCCTGTGGGTGCACGTGGATCTGGTGGGCAGGAGGGGGCGAGGCTTTCCACAGCCAGCCTGTGTGGCAAGAGCATCTCAGAGGATGGTAGGGAGTCAAGAGTTTCTGATGTATGACGACCCATTCAGAGTGGGCAGTGTGTCCTCATTTCCAGTCACAGTGGGATCCCAACAATGCAGTTTAATACACTGTGGCCGGCCTCCCTGCTTCTCTCAAGAGGTAGATAGATAAGAGTACCTCCTCAGACTCGGTGATAGGAACAGACTGTCTGTGTGTCTAGGCTGGGGCGACTGGACTGTGAGAGCGGACTGGCAGGGAAGCAACAGTACCACAAGCCTCTTTAAAATGATGGGGTCCACGCCATTCAAGTTCTAGGACGTGTAGGTGTCTGCAGCCTAAGGCTTAGGAAACCCCTCACAGAGGGCTTGGGAGGATGCTTAACAGATTCCTGTGTTTCCTGTTGTGATGAAATCATATGATTTCCATTAGCGCAACTCTTATGGGAGCCCAACTAGGGGAAACTGCTGCCAGAACCAATGCCTTTGATTTTAAACAACCATTCTCAGGAACGGCAAGCTATTATTGTTGTTGTTATTTTAGCTACTAGGCTATTTTAAGATACAGTCAGTCTTTTTAAAAAGTCAGAAGAATCTCAAGCCCCAGTAAACTAATCTCTAGCCCTGCGTAACTGAAACAGACGAGAGACCCGTCCGTGGGATGGACCTGGCCTGCAGGTGTCTGCCGTCCTATTCCCTTCCTGCCGAATAGGAACTGGCTAACTGGGGAGCAGGGCTTTTTACCGGGTCAGTGGGCGCTTCCTTTAGAAAGTTTTATAAAGGAAATGAAAATCTCCTTTAAGATATCTCATCCTAAAGAGATAAGTAATGGAGAAAGGGTGTGATCAGGTTTCAATCTCAGCTAACGGGTGGAAGTTATACTTTCCAGACCTTTCTCCATTTTTATCCTAAAGCATTACTTCCCACCAGGTCTATGCTGATGCTCAGAGACAACTCACTGGTTGACATGTGCACAAAACCCAGCCCGTCAGAACAAAGGATTTGCTCTGAAATCCCCTAAACTCAAAGTTGTTGAGTGATACAGTCCAGTGGGTACTGAAAAGAGATCAGGATGAACTTACACTTGGTAAGTCCCTTGGTTCATCTTAGTATTATCCGTCTCTCCTCTCTCCCCTCATGAAGGAACATGGAGCTCACATAAATGGGAAGACCCAGGTCGCCCAACCAGGTCAGGATCAATGGGCAAGTGAGGCAGTCCCCACTGACACCTACATTTCAGCACGAGGCTGAGAATTCTCCTAAAACACACATGGATGCCTTTCATGAGAAGAGGGTATTAAGCAGAATGAATGGTTTGCCCGCATTTGTACACTAATTTTTACTTGCTACTATAGTTTTTTTGAAAAAAATTACAAAAATTAAAGAGGCAGGTTTTGCACAGCCCAAGCTGGTACTCTTTCCAACCGAAGGAGGCAGCGCCAAGGCTCTGACGGGTTTCACCTTCCAGAGCTGGTGCTCATCCTGCTCAAACTGATGGGAAGTTTGGGGGGGGGGGGGCGGAGGCACGAGATAAAGGCCCATTGGGATGAACTGAAGTTCTGGGAGGGGGTGAGACTCCTCTTGACCACCCAGAGTGAGGCAAGCCCCAGAGAGCAGAAAGAGGGTGGATCAAGGGGCCAGGGCTTTTTTTTCTGGGCCTAATCCCCCTGTCCAGAGAGGCCAGACAAATCCTTTCTCATTGCACCAAATCTGGCTACATCTTTTCTCCTTTTGCACCTACTGAGGATAATGTTGTCAAGGGCCCACAATACACATCTGAATAGGTCTTTTTCTTAGCACGAGAGTAAGTAACCAGAAGAGCTCAAACTGGATTCTGAAAAACAAGGCTTAGAAAACTTATAACGCCCACCCTCTAATCATCTTGAAAAAAAAGAACTGCAGCATGGACAGTGAAGGTTTAAGCCTAAAAAGCTGGAGAAGTCTGCCTTTCATTTTACACGAAGAAACAGATGAAGAAAGGTGAAGCTTCTAGTCTAAGGTCACACTGAAATTCAGATAAAGACAAATGGGCTCTAAGAAAGAACAGAGAAACAAGGAAAATTTTGAATGAACCTTATTTTAATATGGCTGTAGCTGAGAGAACACCAAGTTCAAGAACTCTGTATCAGTATTTTACCCCCTGGTATTTCCATTTGGAAACATTCCATAGCAACTTCATGGTCAACACAGCCCAAACTAAACATAACCCCTCCAACAGTCTATCCTTGGTTCCAGATTTCAGTACAAGAGGCCACCTTTCACTCAGCTGCCCACGCCATCCCATTCTCTCTCTGTTTAAACTTTCATCAAGGGACTGCTAAATGTGTCCCACCATCGACTCTGATCTTCATCACTACTGGACTGAAAGGTTTCCTGAAAGTCCCCCTGCCTGCCACACTGAAGCCAAGACAACTTTTAAAACACACAGTACTCGTCACATACCTATTCCCCAGGCTGTGTGGACACTGACACCGGGTCACGGACGACTATAAGACCCTACATGTAAAGTCAAAGCTGTACCTGGGTGTTGGGGGTTGTGGTGGTAGATCCCACATAATCTGCCCTGTCTCTCCAGCCCCAGCTCTCAACCTGGGTCTCCCTCATGGTCTGGGACCAATCCTTCCTACTGTTTGATCCCGCTGCCATCGGTCCCGCATCCTGCTCCCTCTGCCAGGCTTAACATCTACTCACAGGTCACTTCCTCCTTCCGCACAGCTGGACTTTTCAGCAGACGCTACCCCTACATGCCACTTCCCGGGGGCCTAGCTTCACTCTCCTAGTGTGGAAAGTGCTTTTTTGTGTGCTTTGCTGGGTACTGCCCCTCCTGAACTAGAAGAGCACTTACTGCCCGGGTGCTAAACACATATTCTTGCTTACCCAGGCTCTAGCACAGTATTAGCAGACAGTACCAAGAAATCAATCACTTCTATACTTGAGAAAGTGAATAGAGAAAAAATATATACTTTCATCCTGTCCTCAGAGGGCGAAATAATCAAATTGTGGGTGAGAAACACGTACATGAAAGCCCCATGATCTATCTGAGGGCTCACAGCTGACTTACAGCGTCGGAACTGAGACTAGGATTCATGTCTCCTGTCAAGTGGCTCAGGGTCCCTTCCATATACCATCCGGCCCTCTCTGGGGTGGGAGATGCCCCCACTACTGGCAGCAGTGAGAGGGCCCCTGGAACATAGGTGGCATTTATCTGGAGCTTTCAGTGCACCCAGTTTCCTACAGTAAACTCTAGGAGTCCTCTGGGAGGGCTTGCCTGACAGATGAAGAATTTAGCCAGGAAAAATAGTAGGTGTGACACAGAAGATCCCAACATGATGAAAAATTCCATTTTTAATGGAAAAGAAAAATCAATTTTGAAACAAAAATAAATCAAAGCTTCTGTTAGCCATCAGCTGACACTCACATAGCTTGGCAAGTAGTTGATCTGTGCCTCTTGCGTAAACCCTTCAGAAATCAGCCTGACGCTGTTTACTCAGACCATGTCTCCCAGGACATACTCTCCCGGTATTAGGTCCATGCAAGTGCACACTTGCTCCCCGTAAGGGACAGAATAGTGTCCCCCCCAATTCACATCCACCTGAAGCCTCACAATGTGACCTTTTGTGGGAAAGTCCTTGTGGATACAATTATTTAGGGATCTTGGTGGAGGGAGGGACTGGAATGATGTGTCTACAACCCAAGGCATGC